CCCGCCCGCCGCACAGTTTATCCCCTGCTCGAAATAGAACAGAACCGTTTTTACGTTGGGTTATAATAAAACCAATTTTGAAACAATTTCTCTGTTTATATTTGAACAATGAACCATCCAAATTTTGCTCCGAAAATTTACCAATTGGTCTGCTCAGGGTCGAGAAGCTGGATGTTGCCCGCTAGACTCACAAAGCTGATCACCCATCCATCCAAGTCGCGACCGTGGACTCCCAGTGAGCGTGCCCACAACTAAAAAAATATATAAATAACGGCGAGAAATTAATAGAAATTTTGAATCTCTGTGTGATTTTGCGAATGCCATTCAATAGAGCGTCGAAAAATATACGAAAAAAATGAATTTCGGCCCGAGATAATGTAATGGCAATTTTTATCGAATAAACAAAAATAGCTCAAAATCCCTGGGCAGCACATTGGATAACGGGGGAAGCCTTTTGGAGATTTTCGCTATTTTTAAAACGCCAATCGGTAGAAGGTAAAAAAATCTACTAAGACCTTTTCGGGCGTTTTCAATATCCTATCCGATAAGCGGGAATAGTATGTCTGTTTTCTGTGCTGCCGGTTTCTCGGCCGTTAGGCCGAATCTCGCGCTGATTTTTGGCATGGAGGTAGAGAAACAGCCAGACATGCGTTTTTGTTTTTCGAAATTCTTTCATTTAACGATTTTACAACCAAAATTGCGAAAATCCTTAACAAAATGGGCTACGGGCCGGAGTGTCCGGGCCATAACTCCAAGCCCTGATGGAATTTCGGTCTGAAATTTGGAACACTTATGTATTCGATAGTGGGGATCAAGCGCACCTTATTATTTACAAATTTTCGGCGCCTACAGACAAAAAAACGACTTTTGTAATGTTACCAGAAGCCCTCCTTCCCGGGTTCAACCCCGCCCAGGACAGAAGAGGCTTTTCCTAGCACCCTTCCTCATGCCCTAGTGGCTTGACGCCCGGTCTACCGCGCATATAGTCGAGGGTTCGCATGCCCGGCGATTTTAAATTTTTGCTTTTTGACAGTTCAACAACAAAACCTATTTCGAGGCTCTCGGTATCCGAAATTTAGGCCAGTCCCTCGCTCTAGCGCCGCAGGCCAAATGCTGGAGAAAAACCAGTTGCCAGCGCTGCAGGCCAGCGAATGGTTCGTAGAGCCAGGGCCGCGAAGCTGTCATTTTCCACTGGTATTCAATATTTCGAAAATGCCATTCGACAGAGGGCAAAAAATATACTACGAGATTTCTTATCGCCCGAAAAAAACCATATGTAAAAATATTTTTTTTAGAAAAAACTTTCAGTTGTTTCCCGTTGGTTTCCCCGCGAATCCTAAAGAACAAAAATGCCAAAGGTTGAAGATATGCACAAAAATCCACGTTATCATCACCAGTGTCCACAATGCCGGACCGGCCGGTGCAGACGACGAGGGACAGTCGTTTCATTTTCCTCGGAAATAACCCGCGATGATTGATGAGGCTCCTAAACTCTTTTTAGCTCTTAAAGGCTTAGGCTTAGGGCTTACAAGGCTTAAGGAGACGTTTTTTGGTGTGAATGGAGTTCTGAGTGGAAACCAGGCCTATTTTGTGCAGAATTTTGCGCTGATTCCGAATTTGTTTTCCATTTCTGCTAAATAGCTGGATTTCAAAAGTTATAGCAATTTTAAGATCATTTTAGCCCAAATTTTCCCCTCTTTAGGGACCATTATATTGCTTTTCCCGGCTGTTTTTCCAAAAATAAATATCGTCACCGTATTCAGAAAAATTTTCTCTATCGAATGAGCTATTTAGCTCAAAATTGTTGAAAATCGAAAAAATCGACGATATGGGCTGCGATTTTTGTATGGGAAATGCTGAAAAACAGCCCGATTTCTCACCCCTGTAAGCCATCGTCGATCGGCAGTAGCGCACTAATCAAATATACCATTCGAATCAGAAAAAAATTTTCTACAAGTTAGGCTACTTAAACAAAATTAAAACGTTATAACAAAAAAGTAGCACAGCATAGCATATGGCTACTCTGGGACTAAAAATTATCTTAAAATAGCTGTAACTTTTTAAATAGAGCTATTTAGCAAAATTGGAAAACAGCATCGGAATCAGCGCAAAATTCTGCACAGAATAGGCCTGGTTTCAACTTCAAACTCCATTCACACTAAAAAACGGTCTCCTTGTAAGACTTGGGCTAGGCTTGGTCTGGGCTTAGGCTTGGGCTAGGCTTAGGCTTACAAGGGAAGTGCACGACCGGCCCACGAGAAATGGACACGAGACATAGTGGATCTGATAGAATCGGACACGGCGATTTGGAATCCGTAATCAGAATCTGCTAAATAAAACGGAGAAAAAAGTTATGAACCTTCAAAGCTGGTAAAATTGCCCAAAATCGGACTTTCATGGGCCTGTAAAGGCCCGGGGAATGGAAATTTGCCACAACCCATTAGTGCATCTTGTTCAGCAGAAAAAAGCGCTTTCTAATGAGCTATCTTACTTCAAGTTTACGATGATTTCGCGGAAATCTTTTCTATGAACTTGGCAGGCCATACCCTTGCCCGTAAATCCAAAAAAACCTTTTTCGGTGAATGGTTTGCAACTGGTACGATTACATGTCATTCGAAAGAGCTTTTTCTGCTGAACAAGATGCACTAACTCTTTTCAGCTCAATTCCGTTCCCCCGGTTTTTACGGGCCCTTAAAGGTACCGTTTTTGACGAATTGGCCAGCTTTGAAGCTTCATAACTTTTTTCTCCGTTTTATTTAGCAGATTCTGATTACAGATTCGGAATCGCCGTGTCCGATTCTATCCGACCCACTATGTCTCGTGTAGATTTCTCGTGGGCCGGTCGTGCACTTCCCTTGTTAGCCTAGTCGGAGGTTGACAAGGAGTCGTTCTTAGGTGCTTTTGGAGTTTCGGGATTGGACCTAGCTAGTTCCATAGAAAAAAATTCTGAACAAGATACCGTTTTCAAAAAGTGCTGATCGATAAAGGCGTTTTAGAAAAATTAATTGAAAGTTTGTGGTTTTGGCTAGTTTTCGATGCAATTCGCTGTGTGCACGCCGTTTTCGGGGTGCGGGCAGGCGCCATAGCCTTCTGCCAATGCCTCGATCACAGGTTGCATTGGCGTATTGGTAGTATGCTTGCTTACCGCCTTTTTTACATTTTTTTTGTCTCGGGTTCGAAACTTCGGTCTAGCTAGCCCTTTGCTTTTTGGTTTTTGAACGAGTTATCGGTGCAAACAATTTCATTTGGCAAAAAAGCCAAAAGCTTACGAGAAATAAGAATCTAACTTACCGCAAAAGGTGAAAAAAGTTCAGAGACTAACGCGCTAGCCACTTGGCCATGCCTACGATGGGATCGGGCCACGTCAAGTACCCCATCTGGGAGGCGCGGTCCCCCGCCTCAATGCTCCACAATTCACCTCAAGGCGCCCGCTACCGCGAACATTTTAAATTAAATTAACCTTTCTCAGACATGGCAATCGGCCGGGCCGCTCGGCTTTTTCGGCCGCAAAAATTAGCATGCGGCCGGACCACGCGGCTTGGCCGCACTTCCGGCGTGGCCGCGGCTTTTTTCTGTTCAGAGGCCGCACGGCGGCCAAGCCGCGCGGCTTTTAAGGCCGCATCCAAATGAGTTTTGAGTACTTCCGGTACGTAAATCGGAGATGCAATGGGTGTTTAGCTTGCTTACGAGGAATATTTATTTTCGACAACCTTAATTTTCTCATTTCCATTGCCATTTCGCATGAAATTCGCAGATTTTTACTATGTAAATGAGCCAATTCCGGTTTGCGGCTTGGCCGCAGCGGCCCGGCCGAGCCGCGATGAAAATGCGGCTTGGCCGCAAAGCCGCATTTCCGGGAGTAACTAATTACGGCGGCTCGTAGGGGGCCGCGTTTTTTATGGAAATTAGACCGCCGGCCCGGCCGCGCGGCTCGGCCGATCGGAATTGCCATGTCTGACTTTTCTAAAGCATTTTGATCGATCAGTACTTTTGGAAAACGGTATCTTTCTCAGCATTTTTTTCTCTATCGAACTCGCTAGGTCCCGTTCCGAAATTCCAAAAGCACCTAAAAGCGACTCCTTGGGAGCGGGCTAGCGTTTTTGCGGTTCTTTCCCTCCGTCGTGGAAACAGCTTTTACTTAGCCAATTTGCTCAGATTATCAGAGAAGTAAAAGTGCACGTTACAAATTTTGATTTTCAAAAAAGGCGAAAATAGCAATTTTGGTAGAGCAAAAATGGACTAAGAAAAATTTTCTAATGTGTCTATCATTTTTTTCTACTTTAGATATAGTTGAATTCCTATAGACACTAACAGTTACGTTGGTTCTTAGGTCTTTCAGCAAAAATTTGACACTGGACAATGCGAAGGCACGGGTTTTGCCGGCCCTTCCATCAGCAGGGTTTGCCAATCGCCAGTAATACCGTCTCATCTTTAGATTTTATTGTAGGACCATACTTTTTAATAATACTACTAATAATACTACCTGATTGGCTTGTTGACGCGTTGCAAACTCAGCAACTCGCAAAATCCCATCTGATTGATGACGGCCGAGAGGAGCGTATCCGGGAGACGGCCAGCCGGGAACATCCCTGGGATCTTTCCTAAAAGAATTGTTGATTGACTAATTAGAACAGGGTCGATTTTAGAAACGCAGCGTTGTCTTCAGCAGATTGGGGTTTTGGAAAAATAAGGTTTGTACTCCTGATAGACTGATGCGCACGCATTGACCCCTGGCCCACATTAATTCCCTGGTATCAGCGAGCTAACCCCCGCCCCCTCCCCCTCCTCGCACGCATTAAAGGGTTACCAACGGCATAAGTAATCGGTGACGCGAGTTAAAGAAAATGTCTCTGTTTCTCGCCCCTGGGGACTCTCTGTTCGGTTGGCTATTTGCCAAAAAGTCGATCAGGTCCCTATGCCGTTGGTACCTTTTTAACTCGGGCAGCCCGAATGAACCCGGACCCAGAATTGCTTGAAAATTAACATTCAGATAAGTCGAAATGAAGTCGGCGACGTAAATTATTTTTGCAATTGATATTCGAAAACTACATACTTAGTAGCCCTGAAAGAAAGAGAAGAAAAGGACGAGATCGGCTCACGTTTACTATTTTTAAAGGGACCGGTAAGGATATTTTTAACGAAAAGATGTCCCGTCAGGGTGGCGGTGGTCTCGAGAAATTTTTGTTTCCGACGTAAATTATTTTTGCAATTGAGATTCCGAAACTACGTGCTTAGAAGTATCGCTGACAAGGAGTCGTTCCTAAGTGCTTTTGGAGTTTCGGGATGGGACGGCTAACAGACCAGTACCGGATTCGCCTCCTCGCCCAAAAGTACGACACCAAAACACGCTTTTTGCAGACCGTCCATTTGTCTGCAGGTCGCCACGCGGCTGATGCCGGGATTTCGACCTGCACGACGTCGGCTACATCCACCGCGACCTGAAGTGGAACAATACGGCCGTCGGGTTCGAAGACCGCGAGAAGTTCGTCTACCTGCTCCATTTTGGCATCGGACGGCGGTGGTGCGAGAATGAGAAGGGACCCGACGGGAAGCACATCCACCGGTAACGCGCTGAAACTGTTGTAAAGTATGCAGAGAGCTAATAAGGTAAGTTATTTTCCGCGTTAATCACTCAACCAAAGTTTCACCGGAAGCATTAATCATCGCCGACCGAAGCGACACAAACAGTAAGGAATTCACCAGAAGGTCGGGAATTTGTTGACGTTCAAACCACTTAAAGCCCATTTTCCAGGCCCCCCGCGGCTTCCGACCGACCGACTACAAAACCCCGGAGCAAGACGAATCGAGGAGATGGGGAGAGAAGAGGACGATGATCCCACTTCTGCGATTTTATGATTTTGAGTTGATTTTGAGCGCGATAAATGGAATGAAATGTCCCCGGGCCCCTCAATAAGCCAGCACGTAAAAACCCCCCGAAGCACGCACTTTACTCTGTCGAAATTTTCTCCTCGATCCAATTCCTCAAAGAATCTCTGCCAGACTGCCCCTCCATCCCCGCCAATTCCTCAAAGAATCTCTGCTAGCCTGCCCCCTCCATCCCCTCCAATTCCTCAAAGAATCTCCGCTAGCTAGCCCCCTTCACCCCCTCCAATTCCTCAAAGAAACTATGCTAGCATGCCCCCTCCATCCCCTCCAATTCCTCAAAGAATCTCTGCTAGCCTGCCCCTCCATCCCCTCCAATTCCTCAAAGAAACTATGCTAGCATGCCCCCTCCATCCCCTCCAATTCCTCAAAGAATCTCTGCTAGCATGCCCCCTCCATCCCCTCCAATTCCTCAAAGAATCTCTGCTAGCATGCCCCCTCCATCCCCTCCAATTCCTCAAAGAATCTCTGCTAGCCTGCCCCCTCCATCCCCTCCAATTCCTCAAAGAAACTATGCTAGCATGCCCCCTCCATCCCCTCCAATTCCTCAAAGAATCTCTGCTAGCATGCCCCCTCCATCCCCTCCAATTCCTCAAAGAATCTCTGCTAGCCTGCCCCTCCATTGGCCCGGAAACGTTTCCAAAAGTGCAGCCTTCCAGACGCGAGCGCAAATACGCAAAGCAGATCGGCACGCAGAGATTTCTATCGCGCAACTGCCATCAAGACAAGGACCAGTCACGACGCGACGATATTGAGGTGCGGTCATTTTTCGGAGTGTGAAGAATTGGTTCTCCCCCCCGTTAACAGGGAAGCACCCTAATTTTCGGAAAGGTGGTTTTCGACAATACGGGATAGGACTTGCTATTCATCTTCGAAATTTTCCGAAAATCAATTTTTTAAAGGGCTGCCGACGGCATGTGTCGATCCCCCCTCATCAACAAATTGGCAAGTAGCCAACAGGGCAGAGAGCGCGCCCAGGGGAGAGGCGCAGAGACATTTTCTTTTCCGCGCGTAACCGATTGACTTAGCCGTCGGCATCCCTTTAAACATTAAAAAGTGCTTTTCGGAACTCTGAGTTTCAAAGATGTGTATGTCGCCGCCTGGAGAGCTAGCAGCGATTATTGCGGAGATTTTGGAAGCAGGATTATTTTTACAGATCTGGCTCTACGTGCTGCTCGATTTGTACCGAGAAGGGTTATTCCATGGGTGGGTCGGGCCGGAGATGCTCTGGTGCAAGAAGTGGATGTTCAGCAGCAAGAGAGTTTCTTAGGGAATATGGTCGTCGCGAAGGACAACGCGGTCGAGCCATCCATTGGTTCTTTCCCATTATCGGGGGGGAGGACTTTTTCCTAGCATCTAATTTCAGGGTGGCCGTTCGGATTCCCTAAAGAATTTCACCTGATATGCGTGTGGATCGACGCGCTGCAGTACGCCGATCAGCCGCCATATCAGAGGATTATGGTTTGCCTATCTCTCTCTCGCGCTCTCTTTCCCTCACTCACTCTCTCACGCACTCTCTCTCTCTCTCAGTCTCTCTCTCTCGCCCTGACTCGTTCTCTCTCTCTCGCTCTCTCTCTCTCGCAATTCGGTTCTGGACTGTTAGCGGGGGAATGAAATTTTTCTCTTTTTCTTTTCTCTCTCGCCATGGCCCTATAAAAATTATGAACCATTTTGATAGCTTTTTACATAGTTTTTAGGCATAAAACCCCATATAAAAATAATAAAATTTTTCGAAAATTATTGACGTTTTGGTGAAAAATTATGAAACCACAACCACATAGTTATGGTTATTGAGGCGAAAAGGGCTAAATTCTCTCTAAGGCTAAAAAGAATCTTTTTAAAGAAGGGCTTTTGGTTTTCGCAAAAAGAGACGAATTCTCATGGCAACAAAAAGTGCTAAATTCCTTGCAAACTCCGAAAAATGCCATAAAATGCGGGATCAACAAAAAATTGCTGGCTATTTAAAATCGTGTTAAACCTGGTACTGTCCCAGATATGTGAATTTTTACGACGAAAGCTGGTAGATAACAGATAACCTAGAGATTACTTTCAAGAAGGTGCAAATACACCATAATGCAGGAACTATTAGTAGGCCGTATTACCGGCTAAAAACTAGAGCTGCCGGTTTTAATAAGGTACCAGCAACTTTTGCTTGATCCCACATTTTATGGCATTTTTCAGAGTTTGAAAGGAATTTAGCACTTTTTGTTGCCATGAGAATTCGTCTCTTTTTGCGAAAACCAAAAGCCCTTTTTTAAAAAGACTCTTTTTATCCTTAGAAAGAATTTAGCCCTTTTTGCCACAATCTTGTTGTTAAAATCGTAAAATAAGCCAAGGCATATTTATTCAGATGGACCCTTGTACCAATACTTGCAAAAAATTTGCCTGCAGCGCTTTGGCACGGCAGTAGCAAACTTTGGGCCAAAATTTACACGCGTGTAAAAATTTCTGGCGTGTAGATTTGATATGAATCCCAGCCCAGAAGATGAACATCATCTTCGAGCAGTTCGCGCCAGTAGACGCCAAACCGCTCGCAACTCATTTGGGGGTCGTTGGGTAGCATTTCTTCGAGGTTGTTCAAGGTGGCGGACGATTTCGAGATGTTTTCTTCTAACCGCCCTAGCAGGCTGAGCTAAGCTGCTCAAAAGCTGAAATTCGTTACACGGATAGAACTTTTCGCGTTCTTTCGAACGATGTACTTGGCATTCCAAAATACTTAATTGAAGCGAGATATGATGGTTTTACTGCTGCGACAACTTCGGCAAGTACGCCTTTCACTACTAAAACGCTCCCCTCTCTGTCCCCAGACGGTTTCGTGTAACGTTAGGTATACCGTTAGAAACAGCGTGAAAAATGCCATAATTTAGACGCCTTGACACAACTCTAGTGTTGTTGTCCAGGCTGCTAGGGCGGTTAGAAGAAAACATCTCGAAATCGTCCGCCACCTTGAACAACCTCGAAGAAATGCTACCAAACGACTCCCAAATGAGTTGCGAGCGGTTTGGCGTCTACTGGCGCGAACTGCTCGAAGATGATGTTCATCTTCTGGGCTGAGATTCATATCAAATTTACACGCCAGAAATTTTTACACGCGTGTAAATTTTTGCCGATTTTTACACGTGTAAATTTGATATGAATCCCAGCCCTGATTTGGTCAAAAAATGACCAAACAAGGGCAAAAATTTTCGATTTTGCCATTGTGAAAAATATAATTTTTTAGCAAGCCAAAAACTATAAAAACACAACAAACCATCAACAGGTGTGAGTGGAAAAGGAAAACTTGGTTTGCCCCCCCCCCGCTAGCAGTCCAGTACCCGCGATTCTCCCACCAAGAAAATATCTGCAAGATTCGTTGCAGGACCACGTGGATCATGTGGCGGCCGTCTACAAGCTGGACATGAACGAGAAGCGCGAATGGGAGGGCAAGATCACCGACGAGCATCGCTACGGAGCCATCAAGAAGACCGTGGAAGAGGAGGCGGAGCGGCGGCGAAAGGCTGAGGAGGAGAAGGGCCTCATGGAGGAGGAGAAGCGCCGCAGCGAGGAGGAAAAGCGCCGCATCCAGGCAGAGAACAAGCGCGTCAACGACAGCGAACCCACCGAGCCCGATGAACTGGAGAAAAGGTGCGCGGTTGAAGCGGGGGCAAACCAAGAAATTGTCTCAAGACCCTAGAGAACTCGGCTCTGGACTGTTAGCGGGGGGTGGGGACTAGTTTTTTGATTACTAGAAAGTTATAAAACAAGATTGTTTCAAACTTTGAAAATTCATAAACGTTGATCTTTTTGGCCATTTTTCATACATTTTTGACCAAAAATTCAAAATTTTTCGACATTTTTATCTTTTTTGTAGCGTTTTTATATCTAAAAACTAGTAAAATGCTTGGCCCCCCCCGCTAACAGTCCAGGACCGATAACTCTAGAAAGGGGGAAAGAAGAAGAAGAAGGAGATGAACAGAAAGTATCAAACCCTTGAGAATTTAGGAGAAAAGATCGGCTCAAGGACGAATTCGGCTGACGTCGTCGCCCCGCGGCACACCCACCGATTAACCCATTATCATCAACAAATGAAGCTTATAACAAACGAAATCATCGATTTACTCGCCCCTTCTTTCACCCACATTGTCTTTTATGTTTTGCGTTACCGTTTTTCTTATTTATTAAGACTCATTGGTAGTATGGTCAGATCAGAGCTGATGGTGCTCCAACTTTTGTGAATAAAGTTTACGGCAAAATGGCGTTGCGAACGCAAGACAAACGAAATAAGTGCAAAAAATGACCTCAAAGATCCAAAAACTAGCACATTGACCACTCATTCGATAACCACGATAAAGTTGCACCGAACGTCAGCAAGTCCGAATCGTCGAAACTAGACAAAACTTTATTTTTATTTAAATAGTTTATTCAGTTTTTGGACATTTCTTCTCGAAATTGCGACGCCATCGCTACGCGACGCACCGTGTTACGGGCGAGAACGGTGCGCATTTACATGAAACCTCCAATTTCCTCCAAGTGTTTTTCTTTTTTGCCGCCCGTTTTTGCTTTGCGATTTCCCACTTTTTATTTATCAAAAACTCTTTCTTGTTTTCCATCTACGTTCCTTTTTCTCGGCGGACGCGCTGAGCTATAAATTATTGGGTGCTATTTCGGGATCCGGGCCCAGTCAAATCTTGACTTTTTCTAGCGTCATGTGCGCTGATTTCGAAAAAACTATCCCAAACCGCGAAAGTTCCGTTTATGGGGCCCGGATGCCGAAATAGCGCCGATAAAAATGAGCCGACTTGGAGACAAATTTCGAACCCCCTAACCCCAAATATATCATCAAATTTGCAGAGGCGACGTGAAAAAGTTTTTGCTAGTTTCAACCTCTTGCAGCCGACTAAATTCCAAACGATCTTCTTCAAACATAGCAAAATGGGCAATGGCGCTATTTCAGTTTACCGGCCCAACTTATATATGGCCAAAATGACATTTTTCTGGGTCAGTTTTTTGCGCTGGTTACGAAAAAAACACCCCAGCTCGTAAAAATGCAATCTAAGGAAAAAAATTACTCCTTCTTCTGGGTCTTAAAGCGGCGAGGATACTGTAGGCACCTATAAAAGCCGGCAAAAAGCCTAATTTTTACTTCGTCGCATCTCAAGATGAACGTTGCTGGTTTGAACTCCTTGCGAGATAACGTACTTGGAGGAGCGGAAAGCCATGAAAATCGAAGTTCTAGATTTTTTATAAAAAGTAAATTTTTATCTTTAGATTGCATTTTTACGAGCTGGGTTGTTTTTTTCATAACCAGCGCAAAAACTGACCCAGAAAAATGCCATTTTGGCCAGATAGAAGTCGGGCCGGTAAACTGAAATAGCGCCTTTTTATCTTTACGACTGATTCGTTTAATAATTTTGCTAATTTCTGGACATTTTGGGGTTTCGAAAGGCTAAAATTGGCAAAAGGACGGTTTTTGACATGTTGGCCGCAAAGCTTCTTTTTTCCTGTTCTCCATTTGTCCATTCGGTTCTGTTCTATTTCGCGGGGGGGGGGGAACTGTGCGAGGAAAAAATATCCTGCGGGAAACTTCCATCTTTTCGCTATTTTCTCGGGATTTTTGCAACGCCATTCGATCATCAAATCCATCAAAAAATATTCGGCCATCAAAAAATATACTAAGAGTTTTTGTTTTAACTAACAATATTGTAATATCAAAAAGTTATAGCAAAAACAAAAAAAAAACTATTGAAACTAGTGCCGGAACGTTAGTTTACGGCATTTTCGCCAGTTTTTGGATACTTTGAACCTGTCATTCGATAGAGCATCGAACAATATACTAAGAGTTTTTAAATTAAAGTTTTATAAAATAGTTGTAACAAAAACAAGGTTTATACGCTGTTGCCACATGGGATCGTGGAATCGAAAGCTAGTTTTCGACATTTTCGATATCTTTCAAAAATTCCTTTAATGCCATTTAGAGCGTCAAAAAATATACTAAGAGTTTTAATTACAACTCAAAATAACAACTTATAAAAGAGTTATAAGAAAACGAAGAACATTCCCCCCCGCAGTTCCCCCCGCTAAATAGAACAGCACCGTCCATTCTCACGTGGCATTCCATGTTCTCCAATTCGTGCTCTGTTGACTTAGAGTTTCTATATATTTCATTTTCAGGATGTCCTCCCCGCTTTCAAGAGTCGTCGACGCGCACGCCGCCGGCAACGAGTTGTGCCACGTCTCCATCGCAATCGAGCCCAACGGCGATCGGGTGAGTCATTTTAAGCGTGAAAAGAAACTTTTGTTTAGTTCCTGACCAGCGCCAAAGACGTCTGGCTCCACATTTGGCGGCCGAGCGTTTTTCGCGGCAACTCCGAGGTGGAATGCCACGAGATGGGCATTGCTGGGCAAGCGTCCCTCTGCTGGAAGGACGACGCGCTCTACATCGGCCTGTGGTGCTGCGATCCCAACACGGGCATCGACAAGCGATGTGTTGTAAGGTTCGTTTTTATTCCTATTCCTTGATTTATTGCTTTCCAGAATCGCCGAGAGCAAGTCCGGCTGGGACGGCGAGCAGCGAAGCCTCTTCTCATTCCCCATGGAAATCAACGCCATTGACGTCTCGAAGACGTACATCGCGGCGATTGGCAGGTATAAATCGGTTGTAGACGAAATTTTACCTCTTTTTAGCGATTGCACAATGAAGAAGGCGCCGCTCGATCAGACAGCATCCTACGAGAAGATCGAGTTCGGCAACCAGCCCCTTTCGCTCGCCATCGACCCGACGGAGAAGGTAAATTTCAATAAATTTGACCGAATAACCTTTTTGATTTTAGTACATCGCCATATCGTTCACCGATGGCAGCGTCGAGATCTACCCGACGTCGGGCACCGAACGTCTGGCCGTGTTTGAAAAGCTGTTCAAGGCTTTTACCTCAATTCAGTAAGTAATTGCGAGTTTTTTTCAAACAATAATTTGTGCGCTTTAACTGCGTTTTTACGAAATTATTTGACTTTTATTTTAGCCCTCTCAAAAACCGGGCGCAGCTGAAATGGTCACCGGATGGCAAGCACCTCTACATGCCGGCCTGGGACGGCATCCGAGTCGCCGATGTCTCCAACTGGGAATGCCAGCGAACCCGCTTCAACAAGAGCAAAGATTTTGAGGTTTAGATTTTATGCCCTTTGAAAACTTGCTCGTTTAGGAGGAATTCTCGGCGCTCGCCCTCCGCGAAGATGGGGCCTATTTGGCGGCCGGGACGCTGTTTGGGACGATTTGCGTCTGGCACACGTCTTCAGGGTAAGGAACTCGGATTTTCGCAGAATTTTGCGTTTTAGAAAGCTCATCTCCACGCAAGACTACCGAAACAACAACAAGATGACGGCCGTCTGCGCGCTCGCCTTTTTGCACAACGGCAAGGATCTCTGCATCGCCGATATTAAGGTAAGAAGGTCAGGAAATGCGAATAAAGTTTGTATTTTTAGCAAGGCGTCTCCCTATGGTACGGCGCCGTCGACAAAGATGCTCAAGTCAAGAACAAGCCCTCCAAACCTTTGATCATTGACGAGGCAATGGAGGATGACGATTTTTCTAACGGTAAATGTTGAGTACGAAAGGTTTGGTGCTTTCGCATTATCGGGGGAACGACGAATTTTTTCCTATTAGGACATTTCTACGTAAAAATTGAATAGAAAGCCTTGTGATACTTTTTTCGACGAAATTCAGCTTTATTTGAAGTCGTAACGGGTTTTAGAAAACCTCGAAAAATGCTGAAATTAAGTTCTGGTTGAAATCGGGTATTTTTTGACGAAAAATCGATATATTTGATCTCGTAATTGTTGTAGAAATATACAAAATCCCGAGGAAAAAACTTTCCCCTCCCCCCTCCCCCCACGATAATGCGATAGTACCAAAATTTTCACTCGTTCTGATACACTCTGTATAAGAACCCGATTTAGATGGCGTCATCCAGAAGAGACGCGTTGTTCAAGATTCCGACGACGACGCCGCCGAGCCGCAGGGCAGCGAGTCGAATTTCGGCGAAAATGACGAGAACTCAAGAAGTAAGTGCAAAGTGTCAATTTTCTGATTTCCTGAGCTTTTTAGTGTCCGTGGACATTGGGGCGATCAAGCGCCGCTACACCCAGCACGACAACCTCGAGGAGGAGATCGACTTCCGGGACGACGACGACGCCTTCAAGCCCGTTTCGCCGCGCCCGAGGACCATTCAGGCAAGGATTTGCCGAATTTTTGGGAAACTGCGTTTTTAGGCTCCGGCCCAGCCGCCCGTCATCCAATTCCGGCCTCCCGCTCTGCCAAAATACTTTGCTTCCGGCGCCGTGCCGGAGAAGACGGTCGACGGGCTACGGCACAAGCGGCGCTACTTGGTAATTTCATTCTGGCACCTTTGACGCTGTTTTTAGAGGTGGAATCAGCATGGCGTTGTGCGATATCTGGATGACGAGGCGAGCTGTAGGATCGAGGTCCGGTTTGGTCGATAGAAAGGGCTGCCGTTGGAGCTTTTGGCTCCTAATTTTATGAGAAACGCTAAGAGGCCGTGATTGCATAATGCAGCTTTTCAAAGTATTGATAGAATTACGCAAAAAACTCAAGCAAAAGTCGCATTTCTTGGATTTTTGTCGCAAAAGTTTGGATGTGTTGATAAAATTATGCAAAAAAAAAGAAAAAGTAGTATTTCACGGGTTTTTTCGTAATTTCGGTTTTCTCTAAAGTCGACTTTTCATAAGACAGAACTGTTCACTATTTCTAAGCATAAAAACGGAGTTTTTGGTGATTTTTCGATCAAAATGGCGCATTTTAGACATTTTGGGTTTAAAACATAGTTGTTCCGCTTGAAAAATAGCTATATTTCATTTGAGGTTTTCAAAACCTTATAAACAATATTGATTTTTGCGGAAGTTCTGGGGTTATCAACATTTTTCTCAGGTAGCCTACCACGATTCGGCCATCTCCTCCGAGATCGTCGTCTCCAACGAGGACACGCGGTACACGATGGCCGATCTCTCGCCGGAAGCCATCGTGCTGGCTTGCAAGGCGCGCAAAGAGGCTCAAAGGTAATCTAAAGTTTGGAATTGCATTTTTTGCGTTTTTTAGTGAAATCTACGTACATCGCGTCGGCACATGGGACCGGGAGAAGATCACGTGGACCGTGCGATTGCCGTTCGGCGAGGAAGCTGTAAGTTTTTCTAATCCCGTCGCTTAATTTTCTCATTTTCTTAGATTGACGTCCTGGCCACGTCGCAGCTCATCTTCGTCCTCACCACCCAGCACAACATTCGCGCCTTCTCGCTGGACGGCACGCAGCGCCAGATTTGGTCTCATCCAGGTAGCTCGGCTTTTAAAAACCTAAAAACCGGAAATTCAGGCTCAATGGCGTCGGCGTGCGCCTACGGAAACTCGTTGGCCATTGCCTCTTTCACCGGCGGCCCCCAGTGGTTCGACAATGACGATGACGACGAGCCGGTTGCCAGTTTTCAGGTGTGTTTTTCGTTTCATTTTTGTCAATCTAAAAATGTCTAGTACACAGCTACCATCTACACGGCGACACCTCGAAGCTGGTGCACGGAGAGTCGAGCTGCACGGACGGTCGACGTCGCTGTTGGCAAAATCGGCGGCAAGCTGGCGTGGCTGGGCTTCACGAATGGCGGAAATCTCGTCGCGATGGACTCTTATGGTAAGTTTGCAGCCCGGAAGCAAAAATGTCGACAGTCAAAGCCGAAGGCCATAATGCCGAAAAGCAACGTCTTTTGGGGTTAAAATTCACCATGCTTTTTGCTACCTTTGCACTTCCGTCGTCGGTATTTTGAATGTCGACATTTTTGGTGTTTAGCTTCTTCTTCTTTCGGCTGAATTGAAAATGCCCATATCTTTTTTTTAGGTTGCCTCCGCCTGCTAACCCCCGCCGATCAATGGGTGCCAATCTTCACGGCTGGCGCGCGTCTACTCTCGCGCTTCGACGTCATCTGGCCGTTCAGCGTGCTCGAGGATGGGCGTCACGAGATACGGTATGAAATACCTTATTTTTACGATATTTTTAGGTACCTCTACTGCCGCGGTTCACGCGTCCCGCTCGTCGATCTGCGCCTGATCCCCGACACTGCCGCCTGGGAGATGCCGCTGTGCGACGTGGAGACGGACAAGGGCCGTCTCGAATCCCAGCTGCTGCTCGCCGAACAGAAGATGGTGCTCATGCGCGCAGCTGAAGTTGATACTACGGTATTTATCGCTTTTCCAGTGAATTCCGCATTCTTTAGTCGGCCTCAAACGAGCACACCCGCGCCCTGATGCAGTTGTTCGCGCTGGCGCTGAAGATGAACCGCGAGGCCCGCGCCGTCGAGATGGCCCGCTTTGCTGCCAGCTCGCGGACCGTTCAGGCGATGGTCAAGTACGCGGCCCGGAAGAACCGCGACTTTATGGTCAACAAGGTATTTGAGCGCTTTTTTGGTTCTTACGGTCTTCGCGATTTAAGGATCAATCGATAGCTCTTGATAAGGAGAGCGGATTTATGATTTGGAAAAACGAGTCACAACTTTTTGTCGTTTTTTTGGCTAGGAAAGGGGAAAAAATCCCTTTTTTTGCAGCTTTTAAAATCCCAGCTTTTTATGCCAATTTTTACCTTGCAAGTGCGAGGAGATGCGTTTTTCTTTAGCGTTTTTCTGGAACTGTCTGGATTGCCGATGCTTTTCCTAGCCACGTCTTTTGTTGGAAAAGCCAGTGTTTCTAATATTTCCGGCTTACTGGCTCTGTGAAAGCTTAAAAACTAATTGGCGTTTACGCAGAAAGTATGTGAAATTTTTGGCAAAAATGCCAAGAATCTAGCAAAACAGAGCGAAATTTCGAGAAACTGAAAGCGTGCAGCTTCTCGCCTTTTCAAGAACTATCAATTGTTACCAAAATCATAAAAAGCGGAGGTTTTTGCTGCTCCCCGAAATTTTTGAACCCTCATTTTTCAGTTGAATGAACTGGGCAACGAGCTGGAGGAGGAAATGGAGCACGCGGCGCCGGCTGCCGAGCAGCCCCAACAATCGACGCGCCGTTCCGACGCCCACGGCCGGAAGGAGGTGCCCTCCATGGTGCCGAAGAAGGTGGTGCCCAAGAAGCGCGAATCGACGATGATATCCGCGGAAGCAGAGGCGGTGCTGGCGCGCGGACGGCTTGACGTGAGCACTAATGAGGTTTGTAGTTGCAGTTTTCGTTTCATAACTATTTTTTGAGGAATCGCAAAGCCAGGCGCTCGTCGAGGGACCGAAGTTCGGGCTCGACATTAGCGGCCGCGCCAATCCTTTCCAAAAGGTGAATTTTTATGATGTTTTTTTGATAAATTATTGGTTCTTTCGCCTTATTGACAGACAAATTTTTTTTAGATTTGGAAAAATGCCTCAATAAGGAATATTAAGGTTTTACTGGTGTTTTTCGCAAAATTTAGCTATATTTTAAGTGAAAACCATCAGAGAAGCCCAGCTAAAATATTCTATTCAAATTTTGGTCGAAAAATCGACATCTTTTGTTTTTTTTGTCAAAAATTATAAAGTTTTACAATTAAGAAATTAGCTCCTCGTTGGTCCCCCCAATAATGCGAAAGAACCCAATTTTGTAAAATTTTTGCGGAAAAAGTATGTAAATTTTTTTGAAGGGTGCCAAAAATCGAGCAAAACAAAGCGAAATTTCGAAACACTGAAAGCGCGTGGCTCCGCGCCTTTTCAAGAACTATCGATTGGCACCAAAATCTTGACAAATGATGTTTTGGGGCTCCCGGAATTGTGGAAGGCTCATTTTTCAGTCGAACGAGCTGGAAGAGGAGAAGGAGCACGTGCCGGCGGCGGGGGCGTCGATGACGATGACACCAATGAAGGATTTAGTTTTCCGTTTCAAAATGATTTGAGATAAAAAAGGATTTTGTGTATTCTTCTGTGATACTTGTGTATTGTGTCGAATAAAACCATGTCGTACTTGCAGGAGTAAAGGTTCACCAGACATTTTCCGCGAATTTATTTGTCTATGTGGGCTCTGAGACTTTTTCACCCGGCTTCACCCAAACGACACAATGCTGGTGCAAAATCTTTGCTGGGTCCACGATCTTTACCATATTTTGAAAAAGTCTGGTTTAACGGGAAAGTGTTTTGGTCATGATTGAAATATCTCTAATCTCCATCCTGGCTTAAAACATTTGCTGTTAGCTACCCTAAGTCTAAGCCATCCTCGGGATCTCTAAATTGTTGCTCGTAATTTCACCTTGAATTTTTCTTTTTCGTTTTATACTTTAGCTTGCGACTTGTACGTTTTGATCAGAAAATTTATTCTTAATCATTAGCTTTCGCAAATTTACGTTTGACGATTTATCAAAATGGTTTCAGGTACTCTACCACGATTCGTCCGTCTCCAACGAGGACACGCGGTACACGATGGCCGATCTCTCGCCGGAAGCCATCGTGCTGGCTTGCAAGGCGCGCAAAGAGGCTCAAAGGTAATCCAAAGTTTGGAATTGCATTTTTTTACGTTTTCTAGTGAAATCTACGTGCATCGCGTCGGCACGTGGGATCGGGAGAAGATCACGTGGACCGTGCGATTGCCGTTCGGCGAGGAAGCTGTAAGTTTTTCTAATCCCGTCGCTTGATTTTCGTGTCTTTTTTTTCAGATTGACGTCCTGGCCACTTCGCAGCTCATCTTCGTCGTCACCTCCCAGCACAACATTCGCACCTTCTCGCTGGACGGCACGCAGCGCCAGATTTGGTCTCATCCAGGTAGCTCGGCTTTTAAAAACCTAGAAATCGGTGTTTCAGGCTCAATGGCGTCCGCGTGTGCCTACGGCAACTCTTTGGCCATCGCCTCTTTTGCGGGCGGCCCTGAGTGGTTCGACAATGACGATGAAGACGAGCCGGTTGCCAGTTTTCGGGTTTGTTTTTGTTTTAATTTTTGTCAATCTAAAAATTTCTAGTACAAAGCGACCATCTACTCGGCGACATCTCGATGCTGGTGCACGGAAAGCCGAGCTTCACGGACGGTCGAGGTGGCCGTCGGCAAAATCGGCGGCAAGCTGGCGTGGTTCGGCTTCACGAATGGGGGAAATCTGGTTGCTATGGATTCGATGGTATGCTTGCAAAAGAGAAGCTGAAATGTGTAAGTCAAAGGCAAGTAGTTTGAAAATAGGAAACCGTGCGAAATAGAAAAATGAGTGATTTTTTAAGCTTGGTGCCGGTCCTTTATCTAGGCCATCCGATTCGTTTTTTAAGTTGATCACGCATTGGCTATTGATTTTTGAACAGCTCACTCGGCCCGAGCCTACAAACTGTCGGTTCTAGCCGGCTGAAAAAATCTCACCCCTCAAACTTCTGAAAATCTAGCGATCTCAAAACCAGCCAAAAACGTCAAAAAAAAAAACCGGTTCCCGATGTAGTGAACCCCTCAACCTGGTGAATCAGGCGATGTAATTCAGACGTAAATTGCTGTACACTACTGCTAACTTTTTATTCTTTTTTTTACACCATGTCAGGAATCGGAGCGCCCAACCTGACGTATTTCCTAGGCCGCGGTCGGGAGGGATTACGACGGGCAGTGAAAGCGCGGGAAATCGACGCGTCCGATTTCCATTGGCCTTTTTTCGGACTTTGGGACCAATTCTTCAAAGTTTATGTCGAAACTTGATTAGTTGTGTTGGAAAACGGCTTTTACCATTTGTAATCTCGTGTTGAGCTTCCAAAGCCCTCGAGGAAGCTTGTAACTCGCCAATTTTGCAAAAATCGAGCCTGTTTCTGAAGAACAAAAAAGGAATTCGGTTTATTTCCCATTTTGCTATGTTTGAAGAAGATCGTTTGGAATTTAGTCGGCTGCAAGAGGTTGAAACTAGCAAAAACTTTTCCACGTCGCCTCTGCAAATTTGATGACATATTTTGGGTTAGGGGGTTCGAAATTTGTTTCCAAGTCGGCTCATTTTTATCTTTACGACTGATTCGTTTAATAATTTTGCCAATTTCTGGACATTTTGGGGTTTAGAAAGGCTAAAATGGGCAAAAGGACGGTTTTTGGCATGTTGGCCGCAAAGCTTCTTTTTCCTTTTCTCCATTTGTCCATTCTCACGTGACATTCCATGTTCTCCAATTCGTGCTCTGTTGACTTAGAGTTTCTCTATATTTCATTTTCAGCGATGACCGCCCCGCTGTCAAGAATCTTCGACTCTCACGGCGCCGGCATCGGCGAAGCACACATCGACATAGCAGTGGAGCCTAGCGGAGACCGGGTGAGTCATTTTCTGCGTGAAAAGAAACTTTTGTTTAGTTCCTCACCAGCGCGAAGGACGGCTCAATCTGGATCTGGAAGCCCAGCGTGTTCAGCGGCGACGCCCAAGTGACGCAGCAAGAAATCGGTGAAGCCGGGCACGCCTGCCTCTGCTGGAAGGACGACGCGCTCTACATCGGGCTGACGGTCTGCGATCAGAACACAGGAATCGACAAGCGATGTGTTGTAAGGTTCGCTTTTTTTCCTATTCCTCGATTTATTGCTTTCCAGAATCGCCGAGAGCAAGTCCGGCTGGGACGGCGAGCAGCGAAGCCTCTTCTCATTCCCCATGGAAATCAACGCCATTGACGTCTCGAAGACGTACATCGCGGCGATTGGAAGGTATAAATCGGTTGTAGACGAAATTTTACCTCTTTTTAGCGATTGCACAATGAAGAAGGCGCCGCTCGATCAGGCAGCATCCTACGAGAAGATCGAGTTCGGCAACCAGCCCCTTTCGCTCGCCATCGACCCGATGGAGAAGGTAAATTTCAGTAAATTTAACCGAATAAACTTCTATTTTTAGTACATCGCCATATCGTTCACCGATGGCAGCGTCGAAGTCTACCCGACGTCGGGCACCGAACGTCTGGCCGTGTTTGAAAAGCTCTTCAAGTCGTTTGGCGATATTGAGTGAGTGATTTCGAGCTTTTTTCAGAAAAAGTTTGTGCGCGTTACGAAATTATTTAACTTTTATTTTAGCCCTCACAAAAACCGGGCGCAGCTGAAATGGTCACCGGATGGCAAGCACCTCTACATGCCGGCCTGGGACGGCATCCGAGTCGCCGATGTCTCCAACTGGGAATGCCAGCGAACCCGCTTCAACAAGAGCAAAGATTTTGAGGTTTAGATTTTATGCCCTTTGAAAACTTGCTCGTTTAGGAGGAATTCTCGGCGCTCGCCCTCAGCGAAGATGGGGCCTATTTGGCGGCCGGGACGCTGTTTGGGACGATTTGCGTCTGGCACACGTCTTCCGGGTATGGAACTCGGATTTTCGTAAAAAATTTGCGTTTTAGAAAACTCATCTCGACGCACGACTACCGAAACAACAACAAGATGACGGCCGTCTGCGCGCTCGCCTTTTTGCACAACGGCAAGGATCTCTGCATCGCCGATATCAAGGTAAGAAGATCAGGAAATGCGAATAAAGTTTGTATTTTTAGCAAGGCGTCTCGCTTTGGTACGGCGCAGTCGACAAAGATGCTCAAGTCAAGAACAAGCCCTCCAAACATTTGATCATCGACGAGGCAATGGAAGATGACGATTTTTCTAATGGTAAATTTTGAGTACGAAAAGTTTGGTGCTTTCGCATTATCGGGGGAACGACGAATTTTGCGCTAGAAGTGCATTTCTACGTAAAAATTGAGTATAAAGCCTTGTGATACTTTTTTCGACGAAATTTAGCTTTATTTGAAATCGTGACGGGTTTTAGAAAACCTCGAAAAATGCTGAAATTACGTTCTGGTTGAAATCGGGTATTTTTTGACGAAAAATCGATATATTTGATCTCGTAAGTGTTGTAGAAATATACAAAATTTCCCGTGGAAAAACTTGCCCCTCCCCGCCCGATAATGTGATAGTACCAAAATTTTCGGTCTTTCTGATAAACTCGGTAAAAACCCCGATTTAGATGGCGTGATCCAGAAGAGACGCGTTGTTCAAGATTCCGACGACGACGCCGCCGAGCCGCAGGGCAGCGAGTCGAATGTCGGCGAAAATGACGAGAACTCAAGAAGTAAGTACAAAGTGTCAATTTTCTGATTTCCTGAGCTTTTTAGTGTCGGTGGACATTGGGGCGATCAAGCGCCGCTACACCCAGCACGACAACCTCGAGGAGGAGATCGACTTCCGGGACGACGACGACGCCTTCAAGCCCGTTTCGCCGCGCCCGAGGACTATTCAGGCAAGCATTTGCCGAATTTTTGGGAAACTGTGTTTTTAGGCTCCTGCCCAGCCGCCCGTCATCCAATTCCGGCCTCCCGCTCTGCCAAAATACTTTCCTTCCGGCGCCGTGCCGGAGAAGACGGTCGACGGGGTACGGCACAAGCGGCGCTACCTGGTAATTTCATTCTGGCAACCTTTGACGCTGTTTTTAGAGGTGGAATCAGCATGGCGTCGTGCGATATCTGGAGGACGAGGCGAGCTGTAGGATTGAGGTCCGGTATAGTCGATTCAAAGGGCTACCGTTGGAGCTTTTGGGCCCTAATTTTTGGAGAAACGCTAAAAGGCGTTGATTGCATAATACAGCTTTTAAAAGTATTGGTAGAATTTTGCAAAAAAAAAACAAGCAAAAGCCGCGTTTCTTTTTCTAAGGTCGAATTTTCATAAGACAGAATAGTTCCTAATTGGTTTTTTACTATTTCTAAGCATCAAAACGGAGTTTTTGGTGATTTTTCGATCAAATTGGCGCATTTTAGACATTCTGGGTTTAAAAATAGTTGTTCCGCTTGAAATATAGCTATATTTCATTTGCGATTTTCAAAACCTTGGAAACAGTATTGATTTGTGCGGAAGTTCTGGGGTTATCAACATTTTTTTCAGGTAGCCTACCACGATTCGGCCATCTCCTCCGAGATCGTCGTCTCCAACGAGGACACGCGGTACACGATGGCCGACCTCTCGCCGGAAGCGATCGTGCTGGCTTGCAAGGCGCGCAAAGAGGCTCAAAGGTATTCTAAAATTTGGAATTGCATTTTGCGACGTTTTCTAGTGAAATCTACGTGCATCGCGTCGGCACATGGGACCGGGAAAAGATCACGTGGACGGTGCGGTTGCCGTTCGGCGAGGAAGCTGTAAGTTTTTCTAATTCCGTCGCTTGATTTTCCCATTTTTCAGATTGACGTCCTGGCCACGTCGCAGCTCATCTTCGTCCTCACCTCCCAGCACAACATTCGCGCCTTCTCGCTGGACGGCGCGCAGCGCCAGATTTGGTCTCATCCAGGTAGTTTGGCTTTTCAAAACTTAGAAACCGGAAGTTCAGGCTCAATGGCTTCGGCGTGTGCCTACGGCAACTCTTTGGCCATCGCCTCTTTCGCGGGAGGCCCCCAGTGGTTCGACAATGACGATGAAGACGAGCCGGTTGCCAGTTTTCAGGTGTGTTTTTCGTTTAATTTTTGTCAATCTAAAGATGTCTAGTACACAGCTACCATCTACTCGGCGACACCTCGAAGCTGGTGCACGGAGAGTCGAGCTGCACGGACGGTCGACGTCGCTGTTGGCAAAATCGGCGGCAAGCTGGCTTGGCTGGGCTTCACGAATGGCGGAAATCTCGTCGCGATGGACTCTTATGGTCGGTTTGCAGCCCGGAAGCAGAAATGTCGAAAGTCAAAGCCAACGGCCATAATGCCGAAAAGCAACGTCTTTTGGGGTTAAAATTCACCATGATTTTTTGCTACTTTTGCACTTCGGTCGTCGGTATTTTGAATGTCGACATTTTTGGTGTTTAGCTTTTTGTTTTGGCTGAGTTGAAAATGCCCATATCTTTTTTTTAGGTTGCCTCCGCCTGCTAACCCCCGCCGATCAATGGGTGCCAATCTTCACGGCTGGCGCGCGTCTACTCTCGCGCTTCGACGTCATCTGGCCGTTCAGCGTGCTCGAGGACGGGCGTCACGAGATACGGTATGAAATACCTTAGTTTTAAGATATTTTTTAGGTACCTCTACTGCCGCGGTTCTCGTGTCCCGCTCGTCGATCTGCGCCTGATCCCCGACACTGCCGCCTGGGAGATGCCGCTGTGCGACGTGGAGACGGACAAGGGCCGGCTCGAATCCCAGCTGCTGCTCGCCGAACAGAAGATGGTGCTCATGCGCGCAGCTGAAGTCGATACTACGGTATTTATCACTTTTTTCCGATGAATTCCGCATTCTTTAGTCGGCCTCAAACGAGCACACCCGCGCCCTGATGCAGTTGTTCGCGCTGGCGCTGAAGATGAACCGCGAGGCCCGCGCCGTCGAGATGGCCCGCTTTGCTGCCAGCTCGCGCACCGTTCAGGCGATGGTCAAGTACGCGGCCCGGCAGAACCGCAGCTTTATGGTCAACAAGGTATTTGAGCGCTTTTTTGGTCCTTGCGGTCCGGCAGAAGGCCCGATTTTCGCGATTTAGGGATCAATCGATAGCTCTTGATAAGGAGAGATTTGTTTTGGAAAAAGCCGGACGATTTTGGAAAAAAAACGAAACAACTTTTTGTCTTTTTTGGCTTGGAAAGACGCAAAACTCGTCTTTCTGCAGATTTGCGAATTTCCAGATTTTTCTGGTAATTTTTTCCTTGCAAATGCGAGGAGATGCGTTTTTCCGGTTTACAGATTTCTCTACTTTTGCCGGTTTAGCGTTATTTCTGGAACTGTCTGGATTGCCGATGCTTTTCCTAGCCACGTCTTTTGTTGGAAAAGCCAGTGTTTCTAAATTTTCCGGCGTATTGGCTCTTTGAAAGCTTAAAAACTAACTGGCATTTACGGAAAAAGTATGTGACTTTTTGACAAAAATGCCCAAAATCGACCAAAACAGAGCGAAATTTCGAGAAACTGATAGCGCGCAGCTCCTCGCCTTTTCAAGAGCTATCAATTGTTGCCAAAATCATAAAAAGCGGATGTTTTTGGTGCTCCCCGACATTGTTGAACTCTCATTTTTCAGTTGAATGAACTGGGCAACGAGCTGGAGGAGGAGATGGAGCACGCGGCGGCGGCGGCCGAGCAGCCCCAACAATCGACGCGCCGTTCCGACGCCCACAGCCGGAAGGAAGTGCCCGCGATGGTGCCGAAGAAGGTGGTGCTCAAGAAGCGCGAATCGACGATGATATCTGCGGAAGCGGAGGCGGTGCTGGCGCGCGGACGGCTTGACGTGAGCACGAATGAGGTTTGTAGTTGCAGTTTTCGTTTCATAACTATTTTTTGAGGAATCGCAAAGCCAGGCGCTTGTCGAGGGACCGAAGTTTGGGCTCGACATTAGCGGCCGCGCCAATCCTTTCCAAAAGGTGAATTTTTGTGAGATTTTTTGTTTTTTTCCCCACATTATCTGTTTTAGTTGTGTTTTTAGCAAATTTAACTATATTTAAACTAGAAAACAACCAAAAAAAATTAGCAAAATTTTCTTTAGTCCAATTTTGCTCGAGAACCGGGTTCTTTCACATTGTCGGGGATCACCTTCTTTTTCTATAAGTCCAAAACCGCCTAGTGTTTTAATGGTGTTTTAGCAAAATTCAGCTATATTTTAAGTGAAAAATCACCAAAAAACGTGAGAATTTTTAGTTGAAATTTTTGGTCCAAATCGACATTTACGGTGTTTTCTAATGAAAATTTGTAAGGTTTTTCCGATTAACAATTAGCTCTTGAGAAAAAGTTGGTTCCCCCGATAATGCGCAAGAACCGAATTTTGTAAAGCTTAGTTCATATTGTTAATGGTTTTTTTAGAATGCTGACATCAAATCGTTGGACAATTCCTCGGTCTTCGAGCAGCTCGACTCCCCGGTCGACCGCAAGCGCGTCAGGGATACGCAGGTATGTTTTCGATTTATCTCGCTAGTAAAGTCTATTTTTCAGGCTTCTACCGCAACGCCGAAGGCCAAGCAGCCGCGGCTCTCGTCCGTCTTTTCGGTGGCCAGCAAGGAGAATCGCGAAGATAAGCGGTACGCGGCTTTTTGAGCTTATTGAGCTGACCGGAATTTTGCTACTAGAATAAACAAGTTTTGATGATAATTTTATGGCTTTTTTTCAGTGGCGCCTTCGGACTGTGGCTGACGGAAAACGAGGAGACGTGCCGCGAAGAGTTTACCGGCGACGAGGTCCGCTTCCCCGAGTACTGCCAGCAGAAGTTCCGGATGTTGCCGGCTGCCCAGAAAAAGGTGCGGGCTTCTTACAGTATACATTTCTCGACACCGGACTGTTATCAGGGGGAAGAAAATATTTGCTAATAAACTAAAATTTAAACTAGGAAGGCCATTTTTATAAAGCCGTATTACCGAAAACAAATCATATTATAGCATTTTGTATATAGAAAGCAAGTGCAAGTTTCAAGAATTTTCGTGAATTTTTGAGTTTTTGGCCAAAAATGTATGAAAAATAGACAAAAAAACGTCAAAATTGTCGTATTTTCGACCTTGCTTGAAAAGCTTTTTTATCACTTGCAAGCAATCAAGCATTATTAAAAAACGATAAAAATCCATTTTTTATTATCGAGGCGATCAAAACTCAGTTTTCCGCCGGCTAAACCTCGTCCCCCCGCTAACAGTCCAGTACCCACTTTACCGCTAGCTAGCGTGATCATAACTTTGTTTTCTTTTCAGGAATGGAAAGCCAAGGCCGAGGCGAGCTGAGCGACGACTTCATCACGGTGTGCAACGACTTCCCGCGCTCATCACGTCGAACTTAAAAAAACTTTTTAATGCATCTACCAGCCCCACTTTTCCGTTCCGTAAATATCTACTTCGATAGCATATTGATTGTCTTTTGAAATTGCCCGGTCTTTTAAAATGGAATTTGATCTTGTTTAAATTGAAAATAGGGTTTGAAATTGTATCCATTTTCCGCCCTCACATTTCCACGTTCCAATGTTTCACGCTACGGTTATTCTTTTCACGCATTTCCATACGCGTGTCATGTCACCTGTTTCAATGCGGAATAAACTTGATTAAAAATAAACTTTATTTTACTCACAAACACATCTTGCAAAAAAGGTGGAAGTAAACTGATTTTAGGCGATTTTTTTCAGAAATGCTGATTGGTGTTGGGCGGGTTATCACGAGGGGCGGATTAGATGTTTTTCGGGTTTTAGGCGGATATATATTTTTTTGACTTTTTAATAGGGGAAATAGCGCAATAAAATCACAATCAGGAAATTCCATTTTCAAAAACTATGAAAACAAAGGGCGGGGCAGTGTGGCTTGGGGGAAATTTTCAAGTTTTAAAAGGTGACGCACACAGCTAGCGGGTGGAAAATTTCCGGAGAATCCCTGGATGATACGGAAAAAACGGGTTTGGGTTTAGAAAATAACTGAATTTGGTGTGCGGGAGGGATAAGAGTTGTGACGAGAGCGTGGTGGTGTTTTCAGGAGGAAGAGCCACGCTGCTTTTTCTATTGGTTCTGGTTGACCATTTGGATGCCGGTGACGTCGATGTCGCCCTGAAATTTGTGGGTTTTTATTGATTTATTTAGCAAAATAAGTTTGTATAGCTTTTAAAAGGACTATTTTTTAATTTAGAACTTTTTAGACGCTAGTTAGCAGCCTAAGCATCTAAGCCAATTTTTTGGAAGACTGAAATTCGACGCTCATAGCGTTTTTCTAATTTTTCGAGAAAAGCTAAACGTTTTTGGGTAATTTTTGGGGTTTATCAAGTTTTTATAAGTTTTAACATTGAATTTAGAGCGAGTATGATATTGAAAATGATTGTTCGAAAAAGAACACTCGACTTTGCCATTAGTTTTTAGTTTTTCAAGATAAACGAACCATGTTTAGGTCGTTTTTGGGCTTTTGGAAGTTATTATAAGTATTAGCATTGAATTTAGAACGATTATGACGTTAAAATACATTGAAAATGATAATCCCGACGCCAAAAATACGAATTTGCCATTAGTTTTTTAGTTTTTCAAGAAAAACGAAGCATTTTGGGGTAATTTTCACAAATGTCGCATTGCAATTTGCGGGTTTTTAATAAATTTGCTTTCTTAACGTTTTGATAAGTATTGGCACCGCATTTAGGTGCTTTATCGAATTATCGAATTTATCGACGCTGAGCTTGAAAGCAGAAAATCGAAATTTCCAGCTTTTGACATTTTTGAAAATTTTTGTAACCCTGTGAAACTGCTATTTTTAAGCGATATTGGAGTGGCAGATCCGAAAATCGGGAAATCAATTTTTTAGAGCTTTTCAGCGTTCTTACCTGAATCTGCAGCCCGCCAATGTCCTTGGGCTCGACGCGATGCGCGTACGAGCAGAAGCGCTCGCCGTTGACGAAGATCTGCAAGGGAGAGGCTCGTGGATTTTTCGGGTATAATCGTGGATTTTATGTCTTTGCAAAATAGGATAGGCGAGCAGAGATTCTTTGAGAAGAGGGCAGGCTAGCAGAGATCTTTATCGACGGGTAGGCTAGCAGTTCTCTTGGGGGAAACTCGGGCAGGTTAGCATCGAGTTTTTTATCAGAAAGCAGGCTAGCAGAGAGTTTTTGAAGAAAGCGGCCGTGCAGAGATCTTTGGAAAATAGGGCAGGCTAGCGGAGATCTTTGAAAATAGGAAAGTCTAGCTGAAAAATGCAGAACTTTTGAAAAGAAGGCAGGCTAGCAGCGATTTTTTGAGAATGGGGCAGGCTAGCAGACTTCTTTCAAGAATCGGAGAGGTTTGCAGAGCATTTCTGGGAGCAGAGCAGGCTAGTAGAGATTATTTGGGAAGAAGGCAAGCTAGCAGAGATCATTTGAGCTGCTTTTTGCGATACCTGGAAGGCAAACTCCTCGTTGCGGATCTCGAGGTCGAAGCCGTGGTTCTTGTCGAACGGGTTCTTGCCCTCGCGCTCCTCGTTGCCCCACTCGCCCGACACCAGCGAGTTACGGACGACGCCCTGGACACGTGCGTTTTATACCGTAATAACGTTAGAAATCGACGAAATAGACAGTTATGTATATTATGACACAACGAAAAGTGGGTTACACGCCGAGTGGGCCACGCCAGGGAACGAAAAATATGTATCAGTGCTGGTTGGTGGGAGAAATTTTGAGGGTACAATTTAACATTTAATAAGATTAAAATTAAGCGTTATTTATCGATAATTTAGCGGCACTTAGCTATATAAAAATGGCTTAATTTTCGCTAGGGAACTATTGAACCGAATTTTGTGAAAAATCTCGATTTTTAGAAAAATCTTTGTGTTTTAGCAAATTCCTTGTTTCTATAACTTTAATTGATACTTATTAACTTTTAAAAACTGGAGTTACGTATTATAGCTTTTAAATACTGTTTATTAAAGCGCAAAAATCGGGGCTTTTTCCGAAAGTTTGGTATATTTGACCAAAATAAATTTTTAAACTTTTTAAAATGCACGTAGCCTTTAAAACGAAGGGCAAATAAAGTTCACGACAAACGGATTTTCCACAAATTTCTACTACAATTTCTAGGCTCTAAAACACCAAAGAAAATGCGATGCTAGGCTTGCCTCGCCGCCGGCAAATCCCTTGTCGTGCTTCTGCAAGTGGTGGGGAAATTGTAAAAATCTAGTTTTATGCGGATTTAGAACTAAAAAGACATGCAAATTTGTTTTAGTGATTTTAAACGCGTAAGAAAAGTGTTAGTTCACAACGGCAAAAAATCAGGTGGGGGACCTACTCCGGGGACGAGTTTGCCGCAAACAAGGCCAAGGCCCTTCTGAAAATTATCAAGGTTTTGTGATTCTCTCTCTCTCTCTCTCTCTCTCTCTCTCTCTCTCATCGCTCTCTATCTATCTATTTATATCCTCTCTCCCTCTCTCTTTCTCTCTCTCTCTCTCTCTCTCTCCTCTGTCTCTCTTTCGCCCTATCTCTCACCTTCTCGTCGAAACGCGGGTTGAAGTGCAGCGCGATGTCGCCGTCCTTCTTCAGCAGGTTGATGTTGAAGCTAAAAAATTTGGTTGACATTTAAAGGGATCGGGAAACTGGAAAATCGACCTATTCCGGCTACTAGGTCTCGACAACTTCACATAGCGGTTGAATTCGCTCAAATTTTTCACTATGTCCGAGCCCGGCAGCTTCAAAATCCGGTTGGCAAGTGTCATTTGGACTGTCGCGTAGCTGTCTGGACCTAATGACTGCGAAGAGTAGACTCTTGTCTTCACAACCCCTTTCAAAGAGCGTCATTTTGTTGCTAGTTTGAGATAAAATTCTATTTGTTCCTTCAAATTCGTAAAATCAGCCGATTTTGGCAGCTGTTAGCTGTCTCCAATGCATTTTTCGTGCAAAAAATTGCGAGTATAATAGTATCAGATCTAATTTACGGTTCCCCTTACCGCTTGGCCTTCTTGGTTGGGGTGCCGTGGATGACCAGCGTCTTCCCGGGCACCAGTCCCTCGCCGGCAATTCCGCTCTCGTACGGGACCGGCTGAAAATTGATAAGGTTAATTGTCACGAACTCAAAACCGCAAAACCCGCGTTAATTCGTAAATTAACTATCATAGAGGATAACGTAAAATTTTCTGAATTTCAAGACCCATTTCGAACCTCGAACCTACGCAACGTCTCCTGCAATTGCTTGAGGAAGGCGTAGAACTCGAAAAACATGCCGTAGGATTTTATTAGGGTTTTGAAATGGATTACAATAAATTAGTGGGCGGCAGAGGGTTGCAGAAAATAGCAGGGTGGGCAATCAGCTGACCAGTGCTGCAGGGGGGAGGCAGGAGGAACGCGGACAACAAAAAACTGGGGCGCGCATGTTTCGGTCTCTCTCTCTCGCTCTCTCTCTCTCTGTCTCTCTGTCTCTCTGTCTCTCTCTTTCTCTCTCTCTTTGCCGCGCTCTCTCTCTGCAGCGCTCTCTCTCTATCTCTCTCTCTCTCTCTCTCTCTCTCGCTGTCTCTCTCTATCATACCTTTCCCTCGTCGTAGCGCACGGAGACATGCGGCGAGACGTCGTTTCCCGAGAAATCGGGGAGAGAAAGTGAGAGAGAGAGAATGAGAGAACGAGAGAGACAAACAAACAGACAGACAGACAAGCCGACAACCCGTTCCGTATCGTTTGTTTTTAGCGGAAATCGGGAGGTCACTTGCGTTCCGTGTAAATTCCTACTATGCCAGTACACAACTCACCAAAGTACGTCTTTTCGCTACTCTTAATTTCACTGGGAAGTCTGTATCGCACGCCAACTACCCTATCGTACCAAAAAAACTAACATGGCAACTTACATAGTACTTTCCGCCCCACTGCACGTGGTTGAGCGTCACATCGCCGTCGATGGACAGATGGCTGACGTGCTGCAGAGCCACGCGATGCTCGAATTCCTTGACTTGGACCTGAAAAAGAGCGTTATAACCTCGCTCTCTCTCTCTTTCTATCTCTATCTCTCTCCCGCTCTTTCTTTCCCTGCCTCTCTCTCTCTCTCTCTCTCTCTCTCTCTCTCGCTCACCCACCCTATCGACGTAGACGGTGAAGCGGCCCTCATGCGCCCGGATGCGCAGGTCGAAGGGCTCTCCCTGAAATGAACCATAAGCCTGATAAATTCCTCAAAGAATCTCTGCTGGCCTGCCCCCTTCATCCCCTCCAATTCCTCAAAGCATCTTTGCTAGTCTGCCCCCAATCCAGCCCAAAAACCGACCTTTTTAACCGGATTTTTCTGGCGCTCCTCCTTGCCCCAGGCGCCCTTCGAGTACGTGTTGAAGACCAGCTGAAATGGAGCCACATGGAAGGATTTTCATACCGTAATCAATTAGTGTCTAGTAGTAGCCGAAGCACCGTGAGAGCTTGGATAATTATTACAAGGTATATAAATTATTGCGAATTGTTTAGCGAGGTTTCTACCAATGAAAAAATGAATTCGCAAGCGCTAGTAAACGTTAGTGGGGGTGTTTTTTTTTGTAGTCGCGCTGGTGTTGGTCGGAAACATACCGTAGACACCGGCTTCTTCGGCTAAATTTTTTTTGGGTTTTAAGGATATTTTCGTGACTGAACGTCCAGCCTCTTTCTCGCCATTTCTCTCTCTCTCTCTCTCTCTCTCTCTCTCTCTCGCTCTCTCTCGCTCTCTCCCTCTCTCTCTATCTGTCTTTCTCTCTCTCTCTCTCTCGCTGTCTCTTTCTTTGCTACCTTTCCCTCGTCGAAGCGGACGGAGATGTGCAGCGGGACGTCGTTGCCCGAGAAATCGGGGCTGTCTCGATGCAGGTTGATGTTGAAGCTGGAAATTGCCAGATTTTAATGTGGATTTTCTGGGGTTTAAAGGAACAAGGAAGCGAAAATCGACCCTCTCATCGATTGGGTCTCGACAGCTACGCGACGCTCCAAATTACTCATGGTTACGTTCCTCTTTAGGTAAAAAGCGCGTTGCTAAGTGTACCAAGACAAAAGACGTGCAATTTTGAATCCGGACCGAACTGTCGACACCCAGCGCAAGAAATGGTCGATAAGGGCACTTTCTAATTTCTTTAAAGCAGAAGGAGCGAGGCCAAAAATGCTATTTTTCTAACGAACCGCTTGGCATCCTCGTTGGTCTTGCCGCGAATGATCAGCGTCTGCCCGGGCTCGATCTTTTCCACCAGTTTGCTGCGGTAGGGAATGTTCTAAAAATAAAAGGATTAGGAAAATGATAAAGAAGGGCTGAATGTCGTGGAGTTTCTCTATTTCTCTATCTGTCTCTCTCTCTCTTTCGCTCGCTCTCCCTCTCTCTCCCCCTCTCACTCTCCCTCTTACTCTCGATCGAGATCTCTTGGTCTGTCGCTTTAGGTCGGTTTCACTCACTCTTTCTCATTCTCCCTCTCTCGCTCTCAATTGCACGCTCTATTTTTCTGGCTCTCTCTCACTCTCACTTCTCTGTCGCTTTCTCTGTCTGTTTATCTCTCTCCCTCTTTATCTCTCAGCTTTCTCTCTCTCTCTCTCTCTCTCTCTCTCTCTCTCTTTCTCTGTCACCCTTTCTTTCGTTCGAGCTTTGGTTTTTATAGTTGCTTCAGATTCCCAGGTATGGATGTCTCTATCTCTCCCGTTCTTTCGCTCTCTCTTTCTCTCTCTCTCTCTCTCTCTCCCTCTCTCTCTCTCTCCCACTCACAATGTACTTGGCGTAGTGCCAGAATGTGGGCATAAGCAGGTTGTCTGATAGATGAATCAACGCGACGGCTGGGTGGCCGAGAGGCCGAGGGGGGCCCTCCGCTCACTCGCATACAATATCACGACTCGGGGTACGGTAGGCACGAGGCCCACGTAATAGGAATACAACTTTTAAGGGACTAGAGACAATTCCTAGCCAACGTCCGTCGAATAGAGCATCCAGGGGTTGCCGGGATTTTTGACGGAATTTTGTGGAACCGACCCGTTTTTCGAGGAATTGTTTTTGGAGTATGTGGGTGCTGAAAAGGCACGAATTTGCAAAAAATTGAGCAATGACGTGAGAAGGAGCGATAAAAAAATTAAAACGACAAGGCTGGCTAGCAGAGATGTTTGGGGGAAAAATTATTTGATGCCACGGCAAGCTGGCAGTGATCCCTAGGGAATTCATAGCGGTTTTTGGGAATTTGTGATAAAATTTGGATATGCTAGCCGGTATTACGCAGATCAGGCAGGCTAGCAGAGATCTTTACGGAAAATTCGTTAAAGGCCAAGGCAGGCTGGTAGATTTCTCTGGGCAATTTTTAGAGCGGTTTCAGGGCAAACTGGCTGCGCTTCCTTGAGAATTTTGAATTATCTGGGGAAAGCTAGCAGGTATCATCCAAAAAATTTTGCCTGCCAGGCAAGCGAGCAGTGATTTTGACGGAAAACTCGTTAGGGGACAAGGCAGGCCAGCAGAGATTCTTTGGGGAATTGGAGGGTATGGAAGGAGCCGGCTAGCAGAGATCTTTGAGGAATTGGAGGGGATGGAAGGGGCAGGCTAGCAGAGATTCTTTGAGGAATTGGAGGGGATGGAGGGGGCAGGCTAGCAGAGATTCTTTGAGGAATTGGAGGGGATGGAAGGGGCAGGCTAGCAGAGATTCTTTGAGGAATTGGAGGGGGATGGAGGGGGTAGGCTAGCAGAGATTCTGTGGGGAATTGGAGGGGATGGAGGGGGCTGTCTAACGGAGATTCTTGAGGAAAAATAGCTAAAAAACCTGAGCAATTAGCCAGGTAAAGGTCCGGCTTTTCCTCGCGTCGTGTGCCTGTTTGCAGGTGTGAAACTCCAGTGGGGTGATAGATTGGCGGGCGGATGGGCGAGAGAGAGAGTGAGAGAGAGAGAAGAGAGAGAGGATTTTGCTTGAGGGCTCCTCAAGCTAAAGGGATGTGGAACAGATGGCCCTTCGATGTGCCAAGAGGCCCAAAAGGGCCCAAAAACGATCCAGGAAAAAGCCGCAACAAACAACTGGCATCTGTTGGGGTGGTGGGGGTGGGGGAGAAGGAGAAGGATAAGGAGCATGAGATGGCCCATCCATCGGGAAACAGCCACAAAAAATGGCGGCGAAAAATAGCAAATTGATGCGGCTAAAATTAGCTCTGGGGACGGCCGGCTGGCAGAGATCTTTTGGGAAGCCTCAAGCTAATAAACACTTTCGTTGGGAAAGAGGCAGGCTAGCAAAGATTCCTTGAGAAAGAGCATGGTATCATACAATTTTAAGAAATTAAGATGATGGGTCCTGGCAACCTAGCAGAGATCCTTTGCATATCCGCAAGCTAGCAAAGATTCTTTGGGAATCAGGAAGCTCGCAACGAGTTGTTAGGAAAGGGGCAATCTAGCAGTGACCATTTTGGAACAGGCAGCCCAGCAGAGATCCTTGAGAAAGGGAAAGGTTTTACGAATGGGCAGGCTAGCAAAGATCTTTTAGGAACGGCAGGCTGCCAGAAATTGTTCGAGAAACAAAAAAAATGCTGGCAGAGATCTTCGTGGAAAATACGGCTAGCAGAGATTCTTGAGGAATCGGCATGCTAGCAGAAATTCTTTGAGAAAACAAGGTAGCAGAGAACTTTGGGAAAAGCAGGCTAGCAGGGATTCTTTGCCAAATCCAAAAACAGGCCATCGAGCCGGGCTATTTTAGGAAAGACTGACAAAATGGGGCGAGGGCTATCGATATGTTGTGTATGTATTTGGGGGGGCATTTCGAGGGGGTCTAGGGGTGGGGGGGGGGTGATGTGTCGGGAGTGGTCTTTCTCCCCTTCTACGAGCCTCAGCTTCTGCTAGGGGAGGGGGAATCCCCGTGGGACCGGTGACCCCCCCTATTTCTATATTGGCCGCCCACTTGTAAAACTCTTTTCGGCCTTAAGAATTAGCATGAGCTCCGATTCTCAAAGGATCTTTGCTAGCATGCCTTTTCATCCCATTTTCTGAACGTTACTCAAGAATCTCTGCTAGCCTGCCTCGGACTGGCACGGTTTGAATTCCCTTGCTACGATAGGCAAGCTAGCAGATTTTTTGAGGAATTGGAGGAGGTGGAGGGGCCGGCTAGCAGAGATACTTTGAGGAATTGGAGGGGATGGAGGGGCAGGCTAGCAGAGATTTTTTTGAGGAATTGGAGGGGATCGAGGGGCAGGCTAGCAGAGTTCATTTCGGAAGATCCAAAATAGTACAACTTCGTACTCGTGCTCCCTACTCTAGCTTCGTACTCCAAATCAAGCCCTCGTGAAGCTGTCCCCTTCCCCCCATCAATCCCATCCATCCAATAACATCACCTAGAGTCCCCCTCCTGCCAGCGGACTTCGCGTCAAGTCCGTGTCCCCATAAAAACACAAAAAACGACAGGGAGGAGACCGTGGGGATCGACGTGCCGCGTAAATTTACGACATCGTGAAGATGCCGCTGAAATCGAGCAGCCAAAATTGGGCCAACCAAAAATTGGACTGGCCAAAGCGAGCTAGCCGCTGGACTTGAAAGCGAACCCCTCCGACTCGGGGCATAAAAGGCCCCGTCCGACGAAATATTGTCATCCCGGCAGCGAGAGGCGAGGAAAAAGACGGGGGGTGAAGGCTCGACTCGAAATGGGCCCTTACGGCTAATCTTTTGCCCATTTCTGGACGGCCAGCTCGAAGTGGCGGGAGGAGGGAAATTCGGCTACGAATTCAGCGAATCCGAAGATCGGTGTTCTTTGGGTTTGGCGGTTCAAAGTTGGCTTTGAAAAATTTTCAAAAATCTACCAAGGAACCCATTAAAGGGACTAGGAAGTGCTGCGTGGCTAACTAGCCGAGATTCGTCAGAAAAAGCCCAATGCCTGGTTCAAAAATGGCTTCGAAAAATGAATTTCGAGGCATAGAATTTCATTTTAAGGGGACGCGCCAGGTACAGGTTTTAGCATAAACCATATGAATTCGATTGCCATGCTATTATAACTCTTAAAGGGCTGAAGAAGGCCAAAGATCGACCCCCGTCCACTAGATCTCGTAATCTACGCGGTGCTCCAAATAACCCTAACGAGTTGATTTTTTGGGTCTTTAGACTAATTTTTGGAGCATAGCGTAGCTGTCGAGACCTAGTGCAAAGCAGAGGTCGATGCTAAAACCTTTTGAATCCCTTTAAAACCGATCAAAAACGACGGTGACGCTTTACGTAACTGTCTAGACCTAGCGGCTCCCAATTTCTAGACCTTTCAATGGCCGAAATTCCACAAATCCACGCTTTTCAGGCGTCAATTGGAATCCCGTGTAGCTGTCGAGACCTAGTCGCGGCGTGGGGTTGATTTTGGCGCTTCCTAGTCCTTTTAAAGGGCTTAGAACAAAAATTCAAATAGGGCGCAAGGAATAGACAAAAAACGCCCTGGAAAGTGCAGCCTGGAAGGGCCAAAAGTTGCCCGAAAAAAGGCAAAAGTGAGGGTGGGTGGCCACCACACGAATGGCGGAATGTGAAGGGGGGGGCCGTGGCGGTGTGTGTGTCCCGAAACGGCATAGCCATCCCCCTTCCCTAACCCGTAATTGATGTGCCCTGGGGGGCATAAGGCCTTGTCTCTGTCTGTCTGTCTGTTTGTTTGTCTGTCGGTTTGTGTGTCTCTTTCGCTCACGCTCTCCCTCCTCTCTCTCACTCTCTCGCTTTCTCTCTATCTATATCTGTCTCTCTCTCGCTCTCTCTCTATCTATATATCTCTCTCGCTCTCTATCTCTCTCGCCCTCTCCCTATCTCTCTCTCGCTCTCTCTCACACTCCCTCTCTCTAACTAACTATCTCTCGTCCTCTCTCGCTCTCTCTCCCTCCTCTCTCTCCCTCCTCTCTTGCTCTCTCTCTCTCTCTCTCTCTCTCTCTCTCTCTCTCTCTCTCTCTCGGTGTGAGGGTGGAGGCCAAGCCAAAAGCCCATCCGCTCACTTCTCGGAATATTCCCTATACACACACCGCCCGGCTGGCACGACATCCTGCAAAACGAGCCGCGGGGTCCTGAATTCTGAGCCTACTGCAGAGAGCTCGGGCTCAATTTTTTGGTTTGAGCCTGTAAAATCTATTCTTCAAAGCCCTGGATATGGGCTGGCTAGCGGAGATCCCTGCGGAAAAAGAAAAATCCGGTGTTAGGTAAAATCAGTTTAATTTTTTATTCTTAGGGGAGCTTGACAGGAACGAAACCGCCCAAAAATCGGACTTGTCGGGCCGGCAAGCTAGCAAAGACCATTTGCGCCCCGAAATTCGGAAGCTAGCCATCGGAAGCGGATTCCGGAAATTTCCTCAGCCTAAAGGGAGGGTGACAGGAAAGAAAGGCATCGAATTTCGTCTTCAAATCTGGGCAGGCTAGCAGAGACCATGTGGGAATCGTAAGCCTAACTACCGAAAGCGGATCCTGTAAAATTATGAGCTTAAGGGGAAGGAGCCATGAAAAACTTCGAAATTCTGCAAATCTGTGTAGGCTAGCAGAGACCATTTAACCTCCACGAAATGCTGAAAATTTTGCGACCGGGGCAGCCTAGCAGAGGTAATTTGGGGAATTTAAACGAGCCATTTACGGTCGTCTTTTTTAAAAATTTTTGATTTTTAAAGGGACTGTGCCAGCGGCAATGACAAAAGGCCTGGTAGCAAGCTAACAAAGACCCTTTGCCAGGGGATTAACTTTTGAAAGTAAGTTCAGTTTTTTTATGTGGTTAGAAAACGTCAAAAGCCGTACTTTAACCATAAGGCAAGCTAGCAGAGATCACTTCGCGTGGACCAGACCAT